AAGCGAAAATAATAAAAATTACAATTTGGACCCAAATTTGTAAAAATAAAATCCCAGCAGAAATAAATTTACTAGGTGTATTAGTTGATATTACAAATTAAATTGTAATAATTAAGAAACTTGAAGTAATTTTTAAAAAAGCATGTCAAAATTGAGATTATTACAAGTTACCTAATAAATTCTACTATTGCTACGGTAAATTCAGTCATTATAATCGTAAATTGTAATTTTTGGGTTGTCATAAAAATTTAGGTTTCTCCATGTAAAAGAAGAAACATCTCTATAGACTTTTAAAGGGGAGATACAGGGAGATACAATCTAAAATTGTAATTAGTTTTCTCCGTGTGGAAAATATAATTGTTACAATATTTAGAAAATAAAATAGCTAAAAATTAAATATTATGAGAGCGTTGTAGCAAATTATTGTCCACCCCAAAGAAAACCCATAAAAAAAAATTTACACCCGAACGTCTACAGAAAATGATAAATAAAAGATGGATTAATGCATTATCGATTGAGGTAACAGTAAAAAAAACTCACTGTGCTAAGCTATGGAAATACAAAAAAACATATCACATTATACAGTATACGCTTTTCGCAATAAATATCCACGAAGGAGACTCCGTACGATGTACTGAAGACCTAAAGATCTATTACTATCAATCACCGTGTGCGTCCATTCCACGATCGATTCTGAAATAGTACTGGCGACTTCGACGAGCGTATTACGGAGAGTTTCTGAACTACTAACTTTCTTATAAAAAAACAATTTAATTTTCTAAAACAAACTTTTAATTTATTGCTAAAATTAAAACAACAGCGTTGCGGTACCGTTCAAGAAAAGAGAATGATGAGCATTCGGATAAAAAAGAAGTGGGCGATACACTTTTACACAATTTTATGTTGATTTTATTTAGTGTTGATAAAAATGCCCTATATCGTTAATCGGGAATAATATAATTTCCTAGAAATTAATGAATTTTCATGAAGTAAATTTCGATTTTAAATTAAGGAAATCCATTTTATTCACACATATTTAGATTTTAAATTTTAACTTTACCCTTTTCTTATAGTGACAATAAATGTTTATTATTTAAAAAGTACTTAATGCTCTGCTTTATTTCATTATTTTCAAATTCAAATCGTTTTGCTTAAAAATACTTTCACATTTTAATCTCGTACACATACACTTCTAAACACTTCTCAACTGGGTAATAGGGGAAAACTGATCACAAAATTGGATTGTTATGAATGAATTCAAATACAATCTTTAAAGAGAATAACTGGCTGAAAATTCTTGATGAAAGATTTTAATACCTATTTAATAAGAATAGATATATTTGCGTACTTCAAAAAAAAAAGAAATTGAATATTTTCGAAAAGAAATTTCACAGTAAATAACCATTTGTGTAGTACTTAATGACAGCAAAATTATGTAATTACTGTTAATAAATAATCAAAGATTGAATTGTAATTATCAGTACATTTTTAAATGAAAACATTCAGTTATTAAAACACATACGTATTCCTATATTTTCGTTTTACATTTCTTTGTCCTAATGCTTGTATTAGCATTTATTATATCATTTTTGCAGAGTATCCTTCAAACGATATGAATCAACACACCAAGCAAAAAATCTCAAGAGATAACAGCACGAAGACAAGCATACCAGTATACGGTGTAAATAAGTATAAAGCAGATCGTATCATAACTCTTTTTCCCGCTTTCACAATAAAGAATAAACGATAATCATCAGAGAATACACTGATTTAGAAAAATATTTCGACCATTACATTCAAACAAAATCATCATTATTTTATTCATTCCTACTGTGTTAATTTTACTTTAATTTTGTTGCATATTTGAGTGAAAATACATAATAAATTAATATTTATCAACGCAAACTCAAAAAAATATCTATAACAAAAGTATTGTGTCTGTTTTACAACGTTATACCTCACCTACATATTGTATTTCAAAATATACATATACAGATCAAGTTTTGTATTATTTACATTTAAAAATTAAATTGGTATTTCCTTTACATCTATTTTGTCTTAACCTTAACACGCAAAGAATTAGTAAGATTTCTTATTTCTTGTCTTACGACTGACGGCCATATGATGATGATAATGATGATGAAAGCATTTAGTTTTTTCTATCTAATTGTAATGTTTAGGTTCAAAGGTAGAAAACATCCTCGAAAGCAATCTTTAGACATTCTGTCATCGTCCTCTACTAACAAAATTATAAAATTATGACAAATATTTATAGTTTAAATAAAATGCCTGTTATAACACCTGTAACTTTTCTGCAAGAGATTCAAAAGGGAGGGTAGAGAGCACCCTTACAAATATTCTGTTTTTATAAATACTCTCTAAGTCCTTTTAAACANGAGAACAAGAGAAAGGGTGGATGAGTAAGAAAAAGAATGTGTGACATGGCTGTGGTGGGTGAAAAGGTAAGAGTGGGAATGAGTATGTGTATGGAAGGCAGGGGGTGAAAATGAAATGTAAGTGTAAAAGTGAAGGAAAATGGATGTGTGAGGCTGACTGACGCTTCGTTGCCATTTCATAATTTCCAGTTTTTCTTGGTTTTGTTGGCTGAAAATTGCGTTTTAATTGTCATGTATTGGTCATTAATTTTGCAGCTAATTCGTTTTCTCTTGTTCTGTTTTACAGATTAGCCTGTTATAGAAAGCATATTGAAGTTTCCTTGGATATTACCGAGTGTCCCCAAATAGACCGTGTACGGTGATGTGTTCTTACTACACTTCGTTTACCCTTGTCGTCTTCACATGGAAAAATTTTCTACATATTTAAGGTAAGCATGTGTCCAAATTAGAATTTTACATTAAAATAAGATGATAGATACTGTGGTTACCGAGACCTATTAATGTATAAGTTTCTCCGTTTGTACCATTGTAATTCACAGGAACATTATTAAAACTCTTGGGATTACAATGCGATGGGAGAATTAAGTAGCAAAAAATCAGTAAAACATTACATAACATTGTTGATTTNATCTATAACAAAAGTATTGTGTCTGTTTTACAACGTTATACCTCACCTACATATTGTATTTCAAAATATACATATACAGATCAAGTTTTGTATTATTTACATTTAAAAATTAAATTGGTATTTCCTTTACATCTATTTTGTCTTAACCTTAACACGCAAAGAATTAGTAAGATTTCTTATTTCTTGTCTTACGACTGACGGCCATATGATGATGATAATGATGATGAAAGCATTTAGTTTTTTCTATCTAATTGTAATGTTTAGGTTCAAAGGTAGAAAACA